ATGTTTCTGAAGTAACACAGCAAATACATTAATAGCCAATATATTTTTATATCCATCTAGACTCATCATTTAGCCTGAATAAAGCAGTACTCTGAATTTCCTTTCAGGATGCTTAGCAAATATTTATCTTTCTTGATACTTACTTCTCTTTCTGCTTTCTCATTTTCATACTGACACATTCTTTTAAATGATTACATTCATCAATTAACTCCTTGTTTCTGTCTTCGAGCATCACACTTTGTTTTTCACTCTCAGCTTGAAGTCTTTTAAAAATATCATGAAACTGGTCTTGGATATTAACTATTGTCTTTTCCTTATTATCAGCTTTGTTGTTAGCATCATCTAATTGTTGCCGAAGCAACATGTTTTCACTCTGTAGTTGAGATAATCTCTCCTGTATAGATTCCTGCTTTCCAATGTATTTATTCGCCTTCCCTTGCTCACTCTGATACATGTGCTCAACTTCCTTCATTTGGCACTGTGTCTGGCTTAGGTCTCTCCATGCCTGTTTTAAAACCAAAGTCTTTTCTCTAAGAGCATCTCTTGTATGATGAAACTCAATTTCTAGACTGTTGAATTTTCTTTCAGTGTTAGAAAGCTGTTGGGAAAGAATCTCATTGTCATCTTTGAGGTTAGATATTTCAAAATTCAGCTTGTCCTGCAAATGAAGCCACTCGTCCCGTGCTCTCTGGAAAGCAACTTCCAGGTCCCTTTTCGAGGTCTGGATCTCACCGTGGTCATGCACAGCAGAAGCCAGCCTAGAACGGTATGACTCAATTTCTGCTTCCAGCCTTTCCTTATTTTTTCATTTTCCAGTTTAGAACTCAGCATTGTGTTCTCAGTTGTCAGAATATTAAGCTGTCCGTTGTACTGGAACACTGTTTTTGTAAATGTTTCTTCGTTCAGTTTTATCATCCTTTGAAGTTTATCATTCTTTTCATTCTCAACTTTAATGTCATCAAGATAGTTCTTTTCTTTTTCCTGGTTATGATTTCTTATCATGTCCATTTCCAGTCTTAATGTGGCAATTTCATCCTGTAGCCTCTGATTTTTATGCAACAGATCCTTTTCTTTCTCATGACTAACAGAAACCTAAGAAAAGCAAGAGATATTTAGCTAGCACTCTAGAAAATATCACAGCATAATTTCTTATGAAATTAAAGAACAGCACAAACAGGTCTACGGTCAAAATGTTGCAATAAATATATATGCAAGTGGAAAAAGAAACAGATATAATCTCAAAGCTTACAGAAGGATAAATTCCCCAAAATTCAAAAACGTAACTGAAGAAAATTTATGAAAATAAAAGAGAATGATCGCTAAGAAACTCAGTGTCGAAAAAGGCTTTCTCTGAATTATACTAGGCTTATACTACAAAATGAGAGAATAACTGATAAATCTGCTTACATTAA